ACGAAATGTGCGAATTCGTGTTAAAAATTACATTATAATATATACTACTTAACGAACTATTTGTATTTATTGATGGCTTATTATTTTTTTTTTTCACTAAAATTATTAGAATTGTTAATAGTCGCAGACGAATATCGACAATTGGCGATTGCCATAGATGATACAAAATATATTATTTAATATGATAAATCCATAGAACTTCTACACTCAACACACATACACGGTCTATTGATACACCGTGTGTTCTTTTACAGAAATCTTTGTGGTCTGCAATGTATTCTTGTTTTCTATTTCAGTTATTTATCGTATACTAAATTTAACCAAACTAATTAGTCCACAAGTTTATTGACATCACAAATATATACTATAAATAGAGTATATTATGCTTAATAATCTGCAGTCTGCACTTTGTTCCGATGATTTTACACGTAATATAATAAAATTGATACTAGTGATTTGTACCCGATTGTTTAATTCAATTATTTACAAGATTTCAATAAAAAAATATCTATGAAGTATAAACATCCGCATTTCTATTAACTATAAATTCTTAATTGTATGAGCCATACATATTACATATATTTTTCTAAAAAATTATTTAATGTCTCACGGGTTGACTGCTACGACAACTGTGCAATTTTTGTAAGCATAATCCGTTTTGATAACATCCAGAAAAGAGTTTGTCTTAAGACTGTCTGTCTTGATAACAACTAATTTAAATTAAAGTGTATTGTTATATTATATGATATTGGAAAATAATAATTATAGTAAAATATATAATTGCAAAACATTTAATATCTAGCTATATAGGGTAAAAAGGCACTTATTAAACTTGGAGTAGTGAAACGAAGACGGACTTTGGACTGTTCGGTCTCGCGTATTTTCTACATGGCGCTTTTAGGATTAAACTTATAAATGCTTCTACGTCACCCAGTTAACAGATTGTCCGGGGCAATAAATATTTAATTTAAGTCTTAAAGTAAATGTAAAATACTAAAATAGCAATAATATGAAAACAAACTTACGCGTAGACATCGACTCTTCCGGTGAAATCTAGCTAGAGTGCCGCCGTCGCCGAAAAAACGGCTATCTTCATCCATCATCATCTTGCTCAGAACTGAAACTTGAAAGTATCGAAATATTTAATGAAAATAATCTGACCATAACGAAATGTGTGAATTTGTGCTAACAAACTGTCTGTATATATTGATCGCTTATTATTTTTTTGTTCACTGAAATAGTGAAATTATTAGAATTGTTAATCGTCGCCGACGAATGTCGACAATAATTTATTGACGATAGCCATAGATATTATTATAAAATATACTATTTACTAAGATAAATCCATAGAACTTATATATACTATACTCAGTACCTAATCGGTCTTTGTTAAATCGTACGTACTTTTACAGAAATTTTTGTGATCAGCAATGTACTTATTCTGGTTTTCTATTTCATTCATAGTTCGCATGCCAAATTTAACTATCCGAAACTGGTCCGCAAATGTATAGACATTCTATTAAATTACAATGTGAATTATTATAAGTCTCCTTTGTGGTACTTGCCAAAAACTCGACTATACCGGGATTTAAATTTAAAAAAAAATGTGATTTAGGTAACCTATTGGCTATTGATCTATTATAAAATAGAAACTGAACCTACCAATAATATCACTTTATAAAATAATTAAATGTGATAATTTGAAGACAATTTCTTAAACCTCTAAAATATTTTTTTAATTTAGTGTTATAAATTTATAATCTAGTTAAGCGCTCAAGCAAATTTTTCAATTTTTTTTTTTTCGGTAACCCATGTGTTGCGACCAGTTAAGTATATCTATGATGCAAAAATTAACTGCCAGAAATTATTAGTTTTTATGGTAAAGCTTTATGAAGTTCACGATTTTCGGTGTTTTAAGTGCTTGTAAAAATTTTGTTTTTTTAAAAAGAAAATCACCATCATTATTTATTTTTGTATAGGTACCTAAAATATAAAAAATATTATATTTTACATAGACTTCAGGACCCCGCATACATTGAATGTGTCCGGGGTCCCAAGAATCCTAATTGCGGCACTGGTAGCCGGTAGGTACCATCTATTAACTATTAAGTACATATTACATGTATTTTTACTGTTATTAATTATTATTATAAAGTTAAACGCCTTATACATATTAAGCAACGAGTTAATTTTCAGCCATGTGTAAAATAAGAAACGTCATACACAGCTTAAAAAAAAGATCAATTGATTTTTTTTTAAATATATTAAAATGCATAGTATGAAGATCAAAAAATAATATGCACTTTTCCCTTAAAATTTACGAAATATACGAAATATGCATTTTCAATACTCAATTTTTAAACTAAACTGACCAGTGAATAGCTTGGATTTTTTTTTAGCTTAGTGTTCTATAAATCAGGAGCATAATATAGAATAATATACAACTCCTACAGTCCTACAACTTCCGAACCCTAATTATAACATTTAAAATACTATCCTCGTCATCAACTATTTTCATTTATATGTATTATTATGAAATATTTTTAAATCATTAGTACAGTATTATTACTATTTCATTCCCTTTATGAGAACTACAACTAACAATGCGTAAAAATTAAAAATTAAAATCCTCACTCATGCATTTTCTAATCATCAGGATTAAGGACTTCAGTACGACCTTTTCTTCTTGCGAATTACTTCGACAACTTCCGTAGGTATAGCCTGTAGTGTTGAATGTTGATACTTGATTGTTTTAAGTAGAGGAAAAATAATTAAATTAATTTATAACTTTACTTTTAAGATTAAGCCCTCAATATTAAATCTAAAATTCGAAAAAATAAAAATAAAAAAACTATTTAGATACATTTAAAACAATTTGCTGAAAATATAACGGTATAAATAAACAAATAAATTCTATTCGATTAAACATTTAAGTATTCAAAACAATATAGTCTCCTTTTTAGCCAGCACGCTATTACACTTATATTTATTTACTATAGCCAACATAATATTATTATAATACCAATTTTATATGCGTATATCACTATTATATAGTGTAGGTGCAACAACAGTAATTTACAAAATCGTTTGTAATGTATTATCTTAGTACAATAATTAGTGGGTGGCTTGGCGTGGCGCGTCAGTAAAGTAAGTAACGGCCACAGCTACTAGTTCCCGGATGGGTAACCACCCGGGTTTATAGTAGTTAAATCCTTGCCACACATACACGTGTTTGCTACCTACCGTAACAACAGTAAACAATCGTAAAAACAATCTACCGTACCTATCTTACACCTACCACAATTCATAACCCCTACAACAGCTAATGGCCTTAGGGCCCGTTGTACAATAGTTAAACTAAGGTTAAACCGTGGAATTCGGCCGGGGTAAAATCAGTGGGTTAAGCGTAAACGAGGTTTAAACTATGAATGTAAGTCACCGGGCTTAAGTTCAATAAAAAAAAAAAAATAATAATAATTGGTGTGGTATTTTATTTTTCTTCTAAATAAGATCACCGAGTTTCAATTTTTAACAATTTTTTTGTTTGAACTTTTATACATTGTAATGACTATTAATTATTATTATTCGTGTTTTTTTAACATAATATATTTTTTACAAATAGTGTTTAATTTTGTGTACCTATTTATCTATTCGTCCTATTCTAAATATTTTAGGTAATTTCTTAATAATTCACTATAATTATTACATTTTTGTAGGTTTATTGTTTTTTTTTTTTTTAAATAATCACTTATACTTATTAAAATAAAAGATATAGGTAATGGTTTACATTTAATTGAAAACAATTCATTTGTCTGAGAATATTTTGTTATTTTGATTACTATTTGTTGGTGTTTAGTGTTTACATACCTAGTATAATAGTACTATAGCATATATAGTTACCTATTTTTCGATTGCTGGTATGTTTAAGTATGTATGCAGTGCATCATTTCAAACAAACCATGGGGCATTTAAAATTACACATAGGACTTTGGATAGTACCTACCTATGACTTGTATTTTATTTAGATAAACTAATATTACGAGACCATGTAATATTTTGTCCATTGAGCTATTATGTAGAAATAATAATATAAAAAAATTATTTTTATTCTCACAGTTTCAGCAAAATCTTCAATCTTCAATTTTTTCTTGTAACACCTAGCATTCTTAATTTTTATATATAAGATAGGCGAAGACATTAAAGTAGGAAATGACGTCAATGACCGGGGAATGGCGTAATTTCCCTAAAAAGTGGTAGGTAAATGTCGGATTTGTAAATTAAAATATTAAATACCCGGTTAAGTTGGACATTGACGTAGAATACATTCTTAGGTACTATTAAAAAACAAACGATGTAACGATACAAACATTTAATATCATACATCTACTCGATATTTGACTGCAGTTGACAGAACGTATAGGTAGGTAGGTCATTTATCAAAGTACCTACATAATAGATAATAATAATAATGGTTACAATAATTTTGGACACAATATAATAATTATCGTATTTAATGAAGTTGGTAGTTGGTACTTGGTATAAAAGTATTAATATTTAATTTTCGATTATGGATATTGGATTCTACATATTAAACATATTACCTATTCATATTTCATTATAGATACATGAATAATAGACTCTACTGTCTACTCAAGTTATGACTCGTTCCAATTGTACGCGCAATGGTGCAAAAAGTCGTAATTTCTTGTCAAATCGGTAATTATATTAAATAATAAATACCTATGCATTTATTTTAAGTAAAACAAGAAGTTTCTTTCAGGTGGTTATTTGTATGTACAATTATTAGCAAAATGTCTAACGTTTTTAAGGAAACGCTAAATCTTTTCATATCTACTTCTAAACTAGTTGGATTAATGAATTATTGTTGTACCATGGAATCTGGATTATTTTACCGGAACATGAAAATAACTTATTATTTATTTCTAGAATTGATACGAATGTTTGTATATTTAATTTGTTCATATTGTATAATTTCCAATATGAAAACTGTTAACATAATAGTTCAGTTCAATGTTATTAAATATTGGGCCATCGTCATCACAGCCAGAATATCGGAGAAATGGACAATAAAGTATGAATAATTAAAATGTATATATTAAAATATTATATGCATCAATACTAAATACTAAATACTCAATTCCTTGCAGAAAATAATATTTTTTAAATTGCAACAAAATAACTAATAGATGAACATTATACAATTTTTTTCATGTTTACAATAGTATGTTATTTATCTAAGACCCACTACTCAAAACCAAATATAACTGAATGATTACGGCTGATAAGTATCGATAGGCGCAAATAGCGTTTGGAATTTTTTTTTTTTTGGGGGGGAGGGCTAAAGCCTTACTAAGATAATATTGAAAAAGCTTAAAACAAAATGTAGGAAATATTTGGGGGTTGGGGCTTAGCTCCTAAAGTCCCCTCGCTATTTGCGCCTATGTATATTATTAGATTAATTTTATTATATAATTTCAGGTTTATTAATGGCATCATCGAATTTGACTTCAAACTGTTTTTATTTAATTCGTCGTTCCCTGTTGAATTATATTCAATAAGTAAAAAATGTTGGACATTTTTTTTTGCCTTATTTGTTATGTATTTTATTTGTTTTCAATGTTATTTTACTTTAAAGTATCGTAAACCAACTAAAGAATTTCTTCAATTTGCAACATTATTGTTCCATTCACCAGATATTATTATTTTTTTAGTATTGGTTACATCACTTTATTATCTCAGTAACCTGGGGTACCGATTTTGTGAATTGAATAGATTATGGAAATGCTTACCTTTTGGGTTGATCGCTTTGCCAGGTGGATTGACCAATTCAGAGATAACAATATTAGTAGAACGTATACGTTTGTTGCATGCTGAACTTTCTGAGTTGCTTAGATTGTTTAGTTTGGGTTACGGACCTATCTTATTGATATATTTTACATTTACATTCAGCAATGCTTTACTCGAAACATTTCTTATTACAATATATAACGATTCAAAAGAATATAGTTTGCTTCCATTTATATTCTACCTACAGCACATTTTCCACATGACTTCAATCCTCTACATCACCTCGTGGGTCATTGAAAAGGTTTGTAATATTTTTCAAAGTACTAAACTATTAACTACAGAACTTAAGTAAATTTTTTTATGATGAGCTATTATGTTACTGTATGGAAGGTATTTTAAAAATGTAAATGTCTAATATACAAAATAGATTCAGTTATAGACTTCATTTTGTTCTATTTTATAAAATAATTATTGATATATGTTAAAAATGTCTGTTGGTTACACTTAAGACTATAATAATTCATAATTAACATGTACTAAAAACGGTGTAAGTAGTAAGTACCTAAATGATAACCAAGATACAACAAATAAAAATGTTATAATATATGACTACTTTTTTATACTATTATATTATGTTTAATTTAAATTCAAATAAGATTTTAAAAATATTATTCTTTACGTATGTTTATTTATATTTAACATAAACAATATATATATTATTTCAGAAAAAAAAAATTATTTCATATTTGCGATTGGTCCGAATTTCTGAAATGACTGTCCATACCAAGTTACAAGTGAATACTAAAATAAAATTAAACTAAATTATAATTTATAATATTTATTTAGATTTTATTAATTATTTATATGTTTATTCGATTACCTAACTTGTATAACTGTTTGTTTTATAATTACCTACTATACGAACATTTTTGGATCAATCATCGTTCACTAAATAGATTAAAATGTTCATGCAACAGATATCAGTTTATGAACCAAATGAATTCACAGCCTTTGGATTCTTCAATTTCGATTTAAAATTAACGATGTCAGTAAGTACCTTTATGTGATAAATAGGTTATTAATAATAATATTTATATACAGCTAAAAAATAGTGGGCCAGTCGGTATACCGGCATAGTACCGCTCTATACTGTAAATTATAGGTGTCGTGTGAAGGTCACTGACCAGTGACCACTGCAATATAGGTACTTCAAACTTGTAAACTAAAAACAATTTTGAGCTTAGGTGGTCGGTCAGCCTATCTTATTAATTATCATACATGTCTTATGACATTATTGCTATTAAAGTAATTTATTTTACTGTAAAATATTAGTAAAACAGTTGGTTGAATGAATTTTTCCGAAAAAGTTTCATTTGAATAGGTAGGTACCTATCATTGTGTGTATAAAATATAATAAACATAATAATACTTCAAAAGTTTCAAGTACCCACGAATAATATTTTTAAATTATAACAAAATAACTTCAACTGTTAGTTTAATACCCTACCTAATATCGTACAAATTTGAACTTAAAATATCTCTAAAATAAAACATCTTTAGGTATGTAATTTTTTAGATTTTTTGGTTACAATATGAATTACAATTACTTATGAAAAACCTTGTTTTAAATTTTTAACCCTTAGCTACAAAATAATTGGAAAATTCTCATCAATTTCGCCAACATTTTAACTTTAAATGTTTATGAAAAAAATCTTACATATTATCATCTTTAATGTTTTTAACTACTATTATTACATTTTATGAGGAAGTTTGTATTAAATCTTAGAGCTTTTTGACACAAAAAATGATTTAAATAGGTACCTGTATAAAAAAAAACTAAATACATCAAAAATGTCTAATGCCTACAATGTATAAATTGTATCAAAAGTCAAAATATTTTGAAAATGTTATCATTTTGTAAAATAAACACTTGGTGAAAATGTTAAGTATCTACAGTTATTACTTTTTAGTTTTTAAGTTACACCAAACGAAAGTGTCATCAGTGGGTGGCTTCTTCATTCAAGATTTTCTTCCTTTTGTATTATAGCCCATACTCTTATTGTGCCTTATTGTGTACAGATTGTGTATTTTATTAATAAAGGAAAAAAAAAGTTACACCAAAAAAAGATTTTGTCAAAAATTGATTTTACGTAACAATATTTCCTTAATTTTTTATTCCCGACACTTTTGACCTTTAAACTTAAGTTTTTTAAAACTCTTCCGTATATTATATTATTATAAAAATTAAATTAAAATGTATATTCAATTTAACTGATTATTTTATTTAGGTACCTACTATAATTATTTATATAGCCATACATAGATAGGTACTTGGCTTTTTTTAAATTTGTACGATCATATTATATTATATAGCCATATAGGGTAAGTATCTACAGACTACAGCTTTCTACTGATATAATATTATAATAATATAATTTACAAAACTAAAAACAAAGTTATTACAGATACGGGAAGTTGGACGAGTTTATAAATACAACCTTTGAACCTTCTACATAGTTAATAATTTTTATTTTGTACTTGTTAAGTCGTTAAGATAAACATTTTTGTTATCCTTAATTTCTTATCTAATGCTAAAAATCGATTTTATCTTTTGTGGGTACCTACCTACTTATTACAAGTTTAGGTGATTAAGTCCTAAGTCAAGAAAACTGTATACCTAATAACAAAGTTAATATCTCTGATTTATCTCACATGATTACATTATAAGTATACAAATATATATTGTTACAGATTTTAGTATTATTGATTTCTGGGATTTCTACTATGCTCCAAATGAAAGACCACCCATTGATGTTGTACTTGAAGAACTCATTGAAAGAAAGAAATCGTGATGTTAATTAATAATATAGATACGATAGACTGGGATGTCGGGATGGGCAGTATCGAGTATTTATTGACTTTATCGTGAAAGTTCTTTAATCTATCTTTAAAAAAAAATATATAATTTTTAATTTTTAACAAGCGATAGTTACGAGTGTCCGTGAGTTGGCCCTTCAAATATGTTCAAACATGTTGAAAATTATGCTCAGAGTTAGCAAGTAATTTGCAAGCATTTGTAAGGCTATTCTTAGAATTTGCAAGAGCAAATTATTACAGTTATTGGAGGTAAAGATACTGCAGAGCCAACTTCACACTGCCCGCCAGTTGACACAGAAACTCCAGACCTGTTTTAAAAAATGTTCTACTGTTAGTAATAGAGTTAGCAAAAGTCCATTTTCAAATAGGTACCTACTTACTACTTAGTTACAACAATACAACATACTATCGACTGGACTAGTTTTTATTTTTACTTTTTTTTTTCATTGAACGCTTCACATACGTTGGTACGTTTTATGTATACATAATTAAATATTTCTAAGTTGACAAAGTTTAGGTATGAGTAGTGGCGTATTTACAGGGGGTGATCTATCACTTGTGACTTGTACATATAGAATAGTAAAAAATTAAATTTTACAAAAAATATCGAAATTAGTGAATTCATGAATAGGTAATTGTTTTTATTTAATTTCCTAGTCCCTATTCAGTAGTTACCTATAATGTAGGTACTACTGTAGTTAGTTAATTCGTAAGTACCTACCTGCTTAAGTAGGTACCTATAGACAGTATAATGCATCTAAAATCGCGATACTCCAAAGACAAATATCTAGTACTTCGATAGGTACTTCCTACTTAGTACCTACATCATGCCCATCCCTAACACTGGCTAATGTATAAAAAATAATCGGATTTTAAATCATATTAAACATGTAAGCATGAACATAGTTTTAGTTGGAACATGCAATAGGCAATAGCCTATGGCTTATAGGGACTTATACATCAATTTATCAAAATATTCAAAACATAAATTAAATGTCTTTTATTTAACAAAATCAAAGTCCAATATATTATTTAATGTATATATAATATCAATATAATACTTATATTACACCATGTAGCTAAAACAAATGCATGTATAAATACAGTTATTACAGTATTAGTTTTGTATAGTATAACAATATTTAAATAATTAACATAACATTACATATAAATAGGTGCAGTAGTATACAGTTAACCACATTGTACTGATTACTGAGATGAAAGAATAAAAAAAAAAAATTAAAAACAATACAGATACGAGTTTTCAATTTATTAAATAATTAACTAGCAGTACCTGTTATTCATTTATCATATTTCTTAATTTTAATGTATTCCTATGTCCTACTTACCTAATATTTATTGTTGTACAATTTTTATAATAAATTATCGAACAAAGTTATTGGCGTATGGCGGTGTGACACTGACGGTCATAGGTAAGTAAATATTGAAAATATAATATTATGTGATTATGAGTATACTAACTATATAATAATATATTTATAGTTTGAGATCTTGAACCCCAAACCGCCAAATATAAGTTTTCCGGGGTGGGTATGGGCCCATAGGCGCGCGCAGGGGGTATGCAGGGTATGCAGCTGCATACCCCGAAGCTCTTTGAGGGGTGAAAATCGACTCTGGAAAATAATCTTTTTTGCACTAGAAAAATAATTAGAACGTATATTAAAATATTTATAATGATTAAATACGAGGGAAATGACATCAGACTAAAGGTAGGGATAACATTTGATTCACGAATAGAATGATAATAAGGTGATCGCAATGCTAACCACCGTCTGACGTATGAACATACCACTGCCTATGGCCGTGCTATTAACAAATTAAACATCCAGTTATCGTTTATCAACTACCAAGTATTTGCAAAATACATACTTCTTGTATTTGTCATAGTATTTGTTACAATATTTCAGTTTTTATTTTTTAAATAAGACTATTGGATTTCATAGTCAATCAATTGATTTATCAATACGGAAAAGCTCAAACCTATAGTAAAGTAATTATTTTAAATCCCGAAGACATCAATGATGATTTCATAAACGCTACCCAACTCAGAATGGCAGAATGGTATTATGATAAAAAATAATTTTTATTTATATGACAACGTTTTGTTTTGTTTGTACAAGTTGTGTGATTTTATATAATTTTTTTAATTAAACAGTTAGACATTTCAATATTTACGTATTGTGTATATATTTTATCCAAATTTTAAATGCTTAAAATAACTTTTAGGGGGCGCCAGTGGCAGCCTTCTGCATACCCTGAAAAAAGGCTTGCGCACGCCTACGGGTATGGCCAACTTCACCTTCCTACGTATAATGGTGATAATTTTTATTTTAATACCTATAATTTAAATTTAATATTTTATAGACCAATACATTAGTCTTTTTTAAAAAGACGAAGTATCTATAGATATTATAAAAATAATTTTAAAAGTTGAAACGAGGAGTTGTGCTCCACAATTTGTGTGGTAACTAGCAAGTCTAGCAAGTTTTCAATATTTTTATTTTAACTTTGTGCGATTAATGTTTTTGAATAAAAACAACTACCTATTGTTCAGTGTTAAATATATTTTATTTTTAATGTTTTCGTAAAAACTATTCTTCTTCAGTTATTGGATTCAAACTTGATTTATAATAATTTTATAATGTATTAATGTACAATATACCACTATAATTATGTATTAATATATGTACATAGAGTAGTGAGTAGTGACAGGAGTTACATTTATTAAATTAAATCTAAAGCTCATTTAAGTAATTTGAGTGTAATCCATAAATTCTCATTGAACGAAATGTATACATAATAATATAATAAAGTCAACATTTATAATTTCCATTAAGACCACTAAACAAACAATTAACCTAAAATCAGTTTCATAACTAATCAGATAATGTAAACCAAAATCACCATTCCTGAAAAATCCTCACACTGTGTTTTTGGATAATTAGAGGGAAATCAAATATTTTAAATAAAAATATATTTTCAGAAATAACTTTATAGGTATATCAATGATTATAAACATTATACTAATAAAATGCTATTTTATAATCAAGCACAATGATTTAACAGAATACAGATGAACACAATTTGTGTAGTTTCTTTTATAAACAATTTTAATATACTAAAAGCAAATTATGTCAAAAGTACATAAATGATTACATTGTCTCATACACAAAATACAATAATAAAAACAAATATATTTGTTTTGATAACATTAATAATAGTTATTCCGCTATAAACAAGACTATATTTTACACGCACATAAGATATAGTATTTCTTACTCGACAATTTCATCTCCAAACAGTAATACTTAAATTTACTTTTAATTTCCTCTGCACCCATTACATTGGAACCTTAATTTTGAATATTACATACAATATATTAATAATAATCATTTTGGTATAATATAATGTTATACTACTCATACTACTATCGCAGTATGTATTAAATGTGTATATTTTAGGATCGTCTTTGACTGACTCGCTTGTAGGCTTGTAGATGTAAGATAACCTAGTTGTATAAATATTAACTAAGTATAATAATAATGACTTTAATTATATAATAAATAGAATTAACGCCAATAAATAATAATAATAATAATATTGGTTGAATTGTCTGACAGACTGCTTAACAATTATGAGCTAAAAAAACAAATGCTTAACTAATAAATTGTAAATATAAGTATATAAAAAAGAAAATTAATAGGAAGGCAAACAAGAAGAGGGATGTGATGAGAGAATAGGCTTATGAAAAAAAAAAATGTTGGAATACAATAAATATATCACGTAATAAATAAATGTGGCTTATGCTCTTCAATGACTTATGTGCGCAGATTGTTCAATAGTAAATGGAGCAAATTTTCGGGTAGTAGGCGACTATGTCAACATAACTAGAATTGCGATACGTTGAGATCTTCAACCTGAAAAAATAAATAAATGGCATGTAAAAATATTATATCACGTGCAGCAAACGAATTACGTTTGGCTGGTCGGTTGTCTTTAGTATATAGAAAAACAATTTTATCAAATGTTTGACGTGCAACGGACGTCATTGAATAGTACCTATTAATAGATTTGCATTCAAGACATTTAAAATTGTTTTGTTAGGTACTTCTCTATATTACCGGGCCATTGAAAGGTTATCAAAATGTCGTATTATAAAAGAAATCATTTTCATGAGATATTATCAGTGTGATAAACTAATAATAAATAACATAATATATTATTTATTATTAGTATCATATTATGATACCTAATTGATTTACTTTTTTTTCATATAAAGTTCTGATATTAATAGAATATTACAAGTATTGTTTACTTTTGAAAAGGGATATCGTAAGGGGCATTTGTATGGTACTACGGTGTGTCATATTCTTCAAGTATTAGGTAGGTGTATATGTATATTTTTCGGAAAAAAAAGTCCTTGTAAAGTACTGTGAGAATGCAAGTAAACTAAACGGTAAGGCAGATATTGATTGAAAGTACTTTACTATGAAGTATAAATTTATTTTAAGCTCTGTGCAGTAGTTATATTGTTATTTATAATTTTTTCATTTTTATTGAATTTTATATTACGTCAATACGTATTAATATTGAATAATACAGCAGATTATGTAGGTATTTATTAACAGTTTCACTAATTAAATTGAATGGCATGTGTGTAATCTTACAAGTTAGATAGGAACCTAGTTAAATTTTTACAAAAATATTTTTTTCGTGCAATCAAATACTTTCGATTTTGTAAGAAACATGTATTAATAAACGAATAACGAATAATAATAATAATTTTAAACGCAGAATACACCATTTAATTTAAATAACTGTAATTGGATTTCGTGTAATCGTGTTATGTATAAACCGAAATTGTTTCAATTGTTTATAATAAATATGTGTTTTTTTGATTGTGTTTCAGAATTGTTTTTTAAATGTTTTACTACACCTTAAAATACGTGGGTAAGAAGTACCTGTACGCTCAATAAATTAAAACTCACCATATAATATATTGGCAATAAATATCACTCGTAACGATCATCGGTATCTTCGTAGAACACAGCCTCGTTAGGACTATAATACGTAGTCATCACATAAACAGCAGCCTCGTATGTTGCCATCATAATGGCCGTGTTAGGTATTTGTCGGACCAACTGTGTGGTCAGACCGCGGTATAGTCCCCTTGGGCCTTCCTCGCCGTAAACCGTTAACAGAGTCTGGAAGAAGCTTCGATACTTGGTACCTTCTTCCCGGAGCCTGGTCCTAGCGACCTCTGTTATAAACACATGAAATACCATTAATTATTAAGTAAATATCAAACACAGTAAACGAATGTAAGTATCAAATTATTTGATTATAGTGTATTTATAGATAAACATGAAACTTACAAAGTTATAAAAAACAAAATTTAATTTGTAATATGAAAAAACATTTAAATATGTACACCGCCGTGCATATTATGTGAATTTTATAATAAATTATCTAAAATAATTGATATCATGCTATATATTCCTGTTTTTAATAAAATGAAATAAATATATTTTCTTGTTTTTGTTGCATTTTGGGAAAGTTTACATTAAATGATTTATGCTAACTAGGTATACGGTATAGCTATAGTTAATGCATTACCGTGAGGATAGGCGATGGACGAAGCAACAGTCTTAGAAATGGCACCAGCCATCATGAATTCAAGGAAATCTTTGGAGGTTTTGGTATTATCTTCAGGCTCATTAAGTCCAACACGGGCTGCTATCAGTCTCGCTTTGATTGCTTCATAGATGACAAAGTGCACAACAGTTTCAGATATTCCAAAGTATGATGCTGTAATACCTTTATAGAAACCTTTTATGCCCTGTACATACAGAACATCAATTTATTTGTATTAATATAAATAATATTTTTTTATATTAATAGTCGGGATGGATTACAATATATGAATATTTACCCCAGTCCTATATATTCGCCTGATACATTGACCAGCGGTGAGTCTTTTTCCATTTTTGTTCAAGTCCAACTGTAGTCTAGTTTTGACCAGCCAAATAGGATTCGTTGCTGAACATGAAGCAAATCCTAGAAATTAGAATCATTTGTAAACCCCGAATTATATTTTATAGTCAATTAATTATTATTATAATACATAATTCATAAACGATGTAAATAGGTACTTAAATATAATCCTAGGACCTATAATCTATAAACGACCAAACTAAAATGGTTGATGTTTCTTAATGTGCATATAAAACTATAAACTGAAATAATATAGATTATAGAACAATTACTACGAAATGTAAGGATCTCATTGTTGATGGAATAACAGATACTCTAATGTATAAAATAACCTTATTAACCTCGAATGTCTATGCAAAAACGGGATTTTGCATAGAAGCCAAAGTAATGCAATTTCTCAATAAGACTTATTTATCTATGGTCATGAGCCAGACAAACGTAAAATAAAACAATATTTACTCTCAAGCTTCTATTTTATAAATATAGTAGTATATTTTTACCATTATACTGTAGATAATAATATATATATATATATATATCATAATATTATGATTAACAGATTACGTAGCTATTTTCACCAAAAGTTGAATTACACGCAACAGCGATTCTACACCAAACACCATGAAACACAATAACAATAACAAAATAATCAACCATTGATGTTTCGAATGTATACTAATGTAATAAACTAAATAAACTAAAGTAAATAACTAATAACTATTAACACTACCTTTTTTTTTATAGTACACATTCCATAGTAATAATTTAAGTTAAATGTATAGTATTTAAAATCAATTTCTCATTGCAATATTGGATCGATTTTTGACTGTAGGATTAGAGTATTTTTTGTATTTTTGATTTTAGTTGTAAACAACGTGGGTTACATGGTTTATTATGTTCACAACATAGGGACCAGAGGGGGCTTTTGTTACAAATATGAACTATTGCATTTTGCAAAAATATTAAAAAAAAATTACGCTAACACACACAACCACCCAACAGCACTGCGTTTTGACGGTACGTGACGTCGACTGGAGCCGGTTAAACGCACTAACGTGAGTAACATGATCAAAAATTAAAATGAATGTAATTTGTTTTTAATGAGTTTTACCGGGACCCACCAAAACACACAAACAAGACTAAAATGATATTTAATTCGAACAAATTTAATCTTATATGTGAAAACAAAAACAACAAAATGTTATCATCAGGTACAATATGCATATTATCATTGGTATTGCATTTCGGCATAAACATAAAAAACCGAACGACACAATGTAATGTAAGTCCACGGCTTTATGGTTTGAAAAACATTTTTAAGGCAAGAAAATTATTAAAAATACCACGGTAGCCTGAAATACCAATATTTTAACGACATTAATTCAAGAATTTATCGAATACAATATATAAAAAATAATAATGGTGCAATACATTATTGTAATTAATAATTAAATATTCAAAACACTAATGGGTGTAAAATAAATATTCTTTACAACTCGTAGAAAAATAAAAATAAAAATTGTTTTTCATTTAAAAAAAGTAATATTAAAATTAAAAACAAATTATAATTTATTAAATATTTTTATTACAATTTAAAATATATATTAAGTGGACATACTCACATAATATATTACTATCCTCCTTATTATAATCTCCGTCTTAACTAACACATAATATTGCAAATTTTACGTTAAGAAGAATCCGTTTACTCTATTTTTATTATTTGAGTAAAATGTCAATTATACATTTTAAAGGTAATACCATAGGGTACATCAAAAAGTTTTTTTTGATACCTAAGTTTTTAAGCAAGTAATAAACATTTAAACATTTTAAATTTTAAAATGCCCATACCCTGATTCAAAATAAAAAAAAATAGTTTATAATATAAGTTAATTAGTTAATAATTATTATAAACTATTAATTCATTTAATAATAATTATTTAAAATAATATAATTGAAATGAAAACAAGTTTTAGATACTACCTAGTTTAGATATTAATTCAGTACACTATATAATACTTCTTCAAATTATGCAATTGATTGTCATTGAAGAAGTCTGTACCAACTATATATTTTATCATAACACATATAATGTAGAGTATTGAGTATTTGCTGCGCAATAATATGGTATCATATTACATTATTACATAGTCATGTTTGGTTTAATTTGTTTACTTCTAATTTATATTTTTTTAAATACACCGAACCTGTTACGTGTATGTTACATTTTTTAATATCTTGACCATTTAAAGCAAGATGCAATTTGTTTGTATTTACATTCAAAATTTAGGTGAACGCCAATCAGAATACTATTTATTATTATCCGAAGAGCAATAAATTAATAAACAATTAAATGCTATTTTAATTTTAAAAAAAAACTGACAAATGACAATACATACATTTATTTATTTTATTTTATATGTAAAAATTACAATATTTATTCTTAAATGCATTATTTATGTATAATAATTCTTGAAAATCGGTAAGTACTAAGTACCTAGTACGCTACAGTCGTCTACACTTCTACAGACTGAACACAGAGCAAGTACAGTTGAACTATCAAAATGCCCGATTTAAAACTAAATGATTCCTCAGAAAAAAAATTAAAACGTTTCCAAAAATGTTTTTTAGTTTTAAATAAAAACTATCACAGTTGTCTCAACAACTTATGTCATACGTATACGATGGTATAAGACATACGTGTATAACAACCGTTCCATCTCATTTGACAAAACTAGTAGTTTTTTATTATAAAAATGAACAGTAATACCAACACAATATGCAAGGCGACAATTTTATTATAGAACGTGACTATAATTAATAATTGTTAGTCGTCGAATTTGTTCATATTTTGATAATATTCATCAGTCATCTTTTACTATTAACGATATTATAATTAGGTTTTCCACAGATAAGCTACAACAGCACAGCTACAGTAATAATGTTATAATATTATTCTTAAATCATTTTAAACATTAAAAAGAATAAGTTGGTATTTTATGCATAATGCAATAATACCTATTACTGTAGTGTCGTTTTAGCCGTTACACGCTTTAACTTAGTATATTATAATAATATAATAATAAAATATTATACCTTATAAAAATCTATCAGTACTGTTCAGACTAGAAATGTATGAACCTATTCATGAAATGGGAGGAAAATATCCCAAATGTCCAATGTTGTAGTGTAGTTGTATTACAAATTCACGTTTTACAGACATTTATACTTGTACTTAAGGCAGAAGGTTACGTAACGATTGAAAAAACGACCACAATATTAATTTTGATAAATAACGTTTGAATATTTAATAACGTTTTGAATGTTATAAACAGGCAACAGTTGTTCCAAGCCTGTTTGCTCTACAGGATCTTAATATTCCTTGAAACATGTAAATTGGGTACACGTTGTACATATTATTATATTATAATATACTACTAAAACGGGTTTTAACTGTTTTTAAAATTTTTTTTTTTTTTCAAATACTTATTTGTTACAAACCTACTCGCACAGGGTATCCATATTATCGTAAGCGTAGTGATTTTGGCAGTCAGTCATTTACGGACATAAAATGCAAACGGTGACTACAACTGTCGGCACAAGCGAACGATTATAAATATCCAATGAGTTTGAGCAGCGTGAAACATAACAATCGTAAATAATTTTCTCAATAATATTATCCTCTCTACGCCACGGGAGATTATACCAAAAACACGATAGACACGTGTAGTTGACGAGTCATGTTCCGCGGAACAACGTGAATAATTCTGTAAATAATAATAAATAATTAATTTTGTTACATGTTTACTGAGCGCGCTCGACCCACCCCGCGCGCCCACATCACGGCGTGTCGGTATTCATTGCGGGCCGTGGCCGCCGCGGCTGTGGTAGGAAAAAATTTCATACCGAAACACAGGCAAACAACAGTGATACCCGCACGCGGCCTACGTGATTAAAGTAACGTGTACGTTTTTATTTACGCGGAAAAAATGTATTATAAAAATACGATACTCTCACCGGTCGGCGGCGCGGGTTCGAGGACGATGCGAATTAGAAAAGGTGATGCGGTGGCGTGGGGGGATACGATCGCCGCCACCGCTAGAACAACTATACGATAAACGATGCGCGCGCACGCACCGTAATGCGCACACGACAATAACAACAACAACAACACACGGACGACGGCAGACGAAGGAAACGAGGCCAAACGCCACCGCCGCGTTTGAAAAATAAACAAAACACCGAACATATGATTTTTTTTCATATCGTTCGAGCTGCCGCCATCGATCCGCTCGTGTACGGTACAAACGGATGACGCGACGGTACCTGCGACAATTTATAAAGCCGATCGACTACCCCAACGGCGGCTGATTTGTTTACAAATAGTCGAATCCCGTCCGCCGATATTATAACAATAATATTATGAAATCACGATTCATGACAATACTATCGCCGTCGATAAAATAAACAAAAACACCTCCGTGGCTAGAAATCCATTGGAATCAAAGAATTCACGAAACAGTAATACAAATCTACCGAAATAGATTGAAAATTGTTTTACCTAAGCTGCGAGCGAACGAGGTCCGTAAAATAAAAAGCAAACCGACTGGATTAACTTGTTTCACCAACGAATCTAAACGCGTATTTCTCTACACGGTGTTTTTGACCATTCGGTTGTTGACAAATTTTATGATAGTTCAACGTTCATAACAATTTATAATATGATATCAAATATTGAAATATGTAAACATGTAATATATATCAACATATGTTCCAAAAGGTCTACGAATACAATGAAACGCATTATTGCTATAAATATAATTTACAACGCAAATTCAATTTAATTATAATTTAATTTATAAAAAAAAACTTTATTAATTATTAAATAAAAACAGGAAAGTAAAATATACTCTTTAAACGAATGTTTGTAATAATGTACTTCATACATTTCATTTTTTATCAGTAATAACTAATAAGCTATAAATTCTCGTTATTTTTTTGATTAAACGAATTTAATTATAATTCTTCATATTTCATATTTTATGCCTTATGCCTTATGGCGATATAGCTCAACAATTCAATAATTACTAAGTAAAACTCTTGATTTTAAAAGATAATAACATAATTTATATAAATTGGAAACACAGTGAATAATGAATATTGTATAATGTATACGTACTAATAATATTTTGTTAAAATAATTCTACAGAGTATATAATTCAGTGTTCGGTAAAATACTAATGAAAAGTAATAAAATGACGTTAGTACGTTACTCCTTACATTAAATATTTTTCTTTAAATTATATTGGTATCACCCAACATTATTTTTATCACGTTACTTTAAAAACTAATTAAACTACTTTAAAAAATAATTACAAAATCCGTCCATACCGAATAGTGGGTAGTAGGAGCATTGTTAATGACTTAATGTTATACATGAACAAAATGTAAAAGTATTTATTCCTGGAATCTTTAATAATATTATTGATTATTATTTATTATAAAAACTTTCAATTCGTAAATAAATTGTATTGATTTTTAATTTTTCTCAAATATCTTAGCACTTAGTTTTTATCATACATTCTACATTCATAACTTATATTAATAACGTGGAAGATACCACGTTACTCCATAAAAATTAATTTAAAAAGTAATAAAATATAATGAAATTACTACAGCGTTACTGCAAAAGTAATTTCGTTTCAGTAATTTGTAATTTGTGTTACGTTACTACCTAACACTGAACTATATATAATATTTAAAGTAAAACTAGGTCTACTATTATTAGTTGTTTAAAAATTAGAACAAAAAAATCTTGCCAATTTTCGCATTGGGAATACATATAGAGAAATTAAAGATTTTATTCCATTTTCAGATAGGAACAAAATATTCATAGTATAGGTATATAAGACAAACAGCGAGTGCATAGATGTTGTATGATATACTAAATAAAAAATAAAAACAGTAAAAACTGAGTAATTCAAATTTACTTCTGCGTAAAAACGTATTCCCATACAATGAACTAAATAAACTACTCAAAAGTCATATACTTATATACTATAGTTCAAACGGTATTGTTTTTAAATCCTAGTGGTTTACATTATTATCAATATATTTTTTCAGAACACGTTTTAAATACATCACAAACAAAAAAGATTGTTACCTGCAAAAGACGCCGATAGTACATGTACTATCGGTGTGTCCGGGTTAAGTACGGTGTTGAAAAACTTTTTGGATTGTGCGTAGGCCCCGAAATATATGGCTCTGGACGGAGCGACGCCCACGATGTTGGGCACCAGTCCTTTGAACAGAGCCTTGGGGCCTTCGGTTTTTACTATGTGCCTAAAAAAGACAGAAAAATGCCAACTGGATAAATAAAGAAGGAAAATACGAATGTATTTTAATGACGAGTAAATAATTGTTTGTTTACCACTGGGCACTAAGTAAGTACCTAACTCCGAAACTTGTAAACAGGTCAATAACAACTATAGGAAAATTTTATTTTTACTATGTACATAGTACGTACTAGGTACATGCTATACTTGGGAAGAACACCAACAACTAAACACTTAGAAATATTTACGTTATTCACTTTATATGCGCATTCAATTTATTCTTTAATATTTTAATTCATTACTATAGTCTATAGTACTCAAAAGATATTTTAACATTATTGTATATTATTGTATATTATATTATAATATAAGGTATACAGTATTAAGTTTAATTGTAGTGTTCATATTATAATTCATGTTGCTGAACTGAAAGATAGGTTTGGATCGACAACCTAGCACTCTACAGTAGCAATATAAAATGGAAGGTACAATATTATAAATTATTGATATATTGTGTAACTAATTAATTATGCAAACATGATACGAGTTGGGATTAGATATTTATAACAAAAGTGAACTATAAAATTTTTTTTTTTTTTTTAAACATTAATCAGCAAACTATAATATTATTGAAATGATAATAATTTGAATCTAAATGTAAAATAGATAATCACTATTTTTGATATATTTAATATTATGTTTAAATATAGGTATAATATTATATTATATAAATGTATGTGTTCTAAATTCTAATCGGGTTAATTTTAATGATATATTTAATATAATATAAAGATAAGAACATACAATATAATTTTAATTTAATTAAATGTATTAATGTTGGTTATCTTAACTATTCTGAAGTTTATTTATTTTGATTATTATTCATTAGTATAAAATTAATTATAAGAGTACATTCATATTTTTTTACTGAAGTGTAATACGTAAATGAAAATATATCTTGTTATTCGCATTTATACATTTTAAAACGATTTTAATAATTGATATTATTCTAATTTTCAAATAATGATTGAACACATGTAATTATATAATAATTTTGTTTTGTGAATTTAAGTAGACACAATTACACATATAATATAATATATTCAATATTGTTAACATTGCCAAAATAATAAAAAAACTTGTTTAAATATATGTATTAACAGTTGTGCATAGTTCAATACAATTACATTTAATTATTACTAATCTTCTATAATTATGTTAATCAAATGTTAGACGATTTAATAATTAATAGTACTTGTAACTAGTGGCTTAGGTTTTTTTTTAATTCCACTGTTCCGTCATCACTCATCACAAACGTAATTCATAGACTTATAGGCTAATATATTATGTATAATAATATATAGGTAATCATAATTAGTTACCTAAATTAAAATAAATTATTTCTTTTACCTAATGAATAAATATTTAAATAGAGGCGGAAAATATACTTAAAAATGGGAATTGGACTATAACTACATGAATTATATGTATCCCACGAGAAATAATATATAGAAAATAGAAAAATTAAAGCCAACAAATCAAAAGACCATAGGGCCTAGGTGATAAAACTGTTAGTCTGTAGTGACCTATACAGCTGACGCACACCATACCGATCAAGCAATTTATTATATTATACGGTTTTACAAGTTCTGAATAAAAATAGAACAGACGTGGAGATGTCAATAACCTTCCAAAATCATAACAATTAACAATTAACTACCGGTAAACCCGAAACCGGCTGAATATTATGTAATTATTATATAAGTCCTTGTACGACAGGGGTCAGGGTAGAAGCGACAAGTGGGGCTTTCTCCACGGCGATTTTGGCTTACGTGCTATTCGTTGCGTACCAACTCTTGTTTTTGTTTACACTGTTGTCTGTTGTGCAGAAACCAAAATCCCATTTACAAGTACAAAAATAGGCAGACGTCAAAGATAAAAGAAAAATATATAATATCTACCTACCTAATAAAGGTCACGACGAATATTCGAAGGACAACCGGTTGTTACTCGCGTTGGTATACATGTATAATAATATAGACAGTTGTAGACACAGGATAGCGTCGTTGTACTATAGTGTACTACGCAGCAAACACATGCTGTACAGTGTACGATATTATTTATTGTTCCCTCACGTAGTCAAGTCTGCCGCCTGCGCAGACTGAGACTGTGAGAGACCCGACAGGCTATTTGCTATCTGACGATTGGGAAGAGTTAAACCACTGGAAGTATAATATACATCAATATATTCTGTATTTCTTTATCGTGGTTATTAAACGTGTTGCTGTTTAAATTCAAAGTTTGGCATGAGAAAGAGTTAGAAATCTTCCATAAGATAGACGTTTTTATAAAGTTCATGGATGCAACCCACTTATTAATTTATAATTATTGTGCTTGATTCAACTATAACCGAATATAACGTTATATAAATATAACATTGTTATTTTTTCAAAATGTACGTAATTTAAAAGCGAGAATATTTAATGTACAGTAGGACTGTATATTTAACACTTTTCTAAGATGAAACATCCAACTAAAAGAAACTTACGCTCCAAATATTATAAAAAAAAAAAAAAACAGTTCTTGGAAATCATTTTAATATGTCATTTGATTTTATTAGAAATATATTATATAATTATAATTGATATATAGGCATTATATAGTCAATACTCAAGGCTAATAATTAAAACATTAATAGGTACCTACAGGCTACAAGTTTTTTTTAAATATTTTATTGGTCATTGATGTATAATAATATTATTAATTACAAAATAACCTCTTCTTCAAATATAATTATTGTATTTACCTACTTACCTATTTTACTTATTAATCAATGAAAGTAAAATCATGTTTGGTATGTAGAATCATAATAAATTATAAGAAATACTGATTTTAGACTATAATCTTTTAAATAATTTTCATGATTATTTAACTATTATTTTTATTTAGGTACATCATACTCGCACATATACATATCTATAGTAGAATATTATAAACGTATTATAAGGATTATATAGTGATAAGTAATTTTTTTTATCATTGACTAAACCAATAATAGTATAATATATTTCAATATAAACATTGACTCTCTAAATTATTTATCATAAAGTATGATAAAAAATAAAAAATCTATAATAAAGTACTAAAACCTTAGATAATATAGGTATTGTAACTGAATAATATGTGTTATCTAATATTGGTGTCTTTGTGTAGTAGGTATTTGTAAATATTTAAGTATTGTCAACCGAGAATGTAAATTGTTTTTTTTAGATTTGATAAGTTTGGCACTAATAATATGAAATCTATTGGCTCACAGAAAGTAATGCCATGTTAGTTGGACTTAGTCCATAGACCAACACCAAACAATATTGTAGCTTTTTTCAAAATTTGAATGATTGATGACAAGCTTTTAAGTATACTCTGTGCAGGTGGTAACTGGCAAGTTTGTACTGCTGTATGAATCTTATCTTGGAAATGTCACCAACAACATACTTGTTAAAATATCATCTAACATTATAATATGGTTGTTTAATTAAAAAACATGAGGTTATCATATTTTTTGGTAATGCTAATGTTATGACTTACGAACGATAATAATCATAATTGAACATCAGACCGAGTATAATTGATGTATCAAATTATTTTGTTCCTTAACTTAATATTGCGTTCATTAGTTATTGTTTATCCGCTTTTATACAACTTAAAAAAATATATTCAGATTGTAAATTTAACTAGGTATATACTTACTAAGCTACTTATCAGTTATATATTTTATTTAATTTTAGGTACATGTCATTTTTAAATTGAATAGTAAACAAACTTAGTATGACAATTGTATATCGATAAAATTATTCTTTGTTCAATGCTAATAAAAAGTACAACTCAGGAAAAACAAGTTTCAATAACATATGTTAGGCCTAGCCACATAGATATGAAATGCATCCTAATACTAATACTGTCAATTGCGGACAATGTTTCTGATTTTGTAAACACAACAAAATTATAGTAAACAAGTTCTCTATTTAGAACTATACTTTTAACCATCAGCTTGATTATTCAAATATTATCAATACTGGCAATACTCAATGGTATAAACTAAAAATGATATAGAATTACAACTTCCATTAAATATACACAGGAATTTGTATAGGCTTAAGAACTGAAGTTCTTAATTGACCTAATTTAAAATTATTTTAGCCTTCAGTGTATTAGACCTAAAAAAAATTTATTGCATTTTGATTGTAAACAAAACAATTTAAGTTCATTGTACTCCAATTTGTTCAGATTGTACATGCAATCAGTTTTGTCAATGACATTTTTCTTTTGCAAAATTATAAAAATGATGTGGAGCCAACTAAGAACCCATAACTTAACTATAAACTACTGTATTTAAGCATTTCTAATTTATTAATTTCAAGATAGTATACTGAATAGTGAATAGGTACCTACCTTAATTTGGATTAGTTAGATTAGAGATAAGTACATTATTGATGTATATCAATACTCCCCATGACATCATTTATAAAAACTTATAATAAATGCCATTGCTTGTCATAAGGTTTAAGTGAGACATACAATTTTTCAAAGAGTTTGTATCATTTGATTTTATAAGAAAAAAAATAGTGACTACCTTCCCAGTTTCTAAATTAAATTTGTACTGGAGGAATTTAATGCTCATTAATTGGATGATCAATTAAACTGATAGCTACGATTAGGTAATTTAAAAATGATTGTTTACTACAGAGCAAACAAATATATTCAACATTCTTACCTGAGACACTGTAAGAGTCCCATTGATTTGGTATTCTGGCTGCCTACACCACATTGAGAAAATGTTAGTATTTGTGTGCTGGAGTGTCGGCCACCAGCGCCGCTCAAGGTGTTATATCGTCGTCGCTGCAGCGACGAGATTGTCTTACATGTCATGCGGCTACCGCCACTGTCTTCAGATGCAATCCTAGGCACATAATCATAGCGTGTAGCACCAAAGCTAGAAGATGACTGCAACCTAGTCTTGACTACTTCCAATGGACATGTAACCACAGCACCAGTCGTACCAGCCAACCTGGAATAAATATCGATATAGTAAAAACCACATCATGCACATCGCAAAAACGGTGACAACTTGTTGCAGGTGGTCTGAAAATATTTACCCTCCAGATACGAGATGGATGACCGTGTCACGAGAGTACTGCGACTGTGACATACTGACTACCCTTTACGTCGACATGGAATCTAAACGCATCGGTCACTGAAGTTAAAGCAGATCAAAGAGAAGTTAAATTGGATTTAAAATTCACCGGGCCGTCCAATATATAATTATGTTGACACACACACGGATTTGAACGAAAATAATTTAATGGACGCCGACAATAATTCGAACAACAAACGACAAGATTTCAACGCGCAACAATCATGAGATCGTTGAACGGTCAGCAGACGACTGAAAACGGAGAGACGATTTACCGAGCAGGCGTACAGCATGTCAGCGTATAGTGCATTCGTTTTCAATGTAGCACTACATTATGAAATAATGTGCTCGTCCCGGCGGCGGCGCTATAGTTGCCCTATCAAGTGTCCGTAGTTCAAGACGTTGTCAGCTGTTACGCACAACCAGTGTGACCACGGAAAAATTTACAAATCTCAGTTTCCCGTTTTATATCTGTTTATTATTTCCTGTCCGAAAATCTTAACAAATGACATTCAACATATTTTCAACCACGGACTATATTATTATATAATAAGACACACGGATAATATACTAAATTGTCTAAATTTAGTATGTTAGTACTTTAATACTTTAGTATGATATTATCATATTAGTATATTATCCGTGTACAAGACGTATATCTTAGTCCGAGCATTCAGCCAGCCAGATTTTTGTCAAATGTTTACTCGTTTCCCAAAAATTATAGTACTTTCTAGGTACCTACATTTTAGCACGAAGGCGTACAGGACAGTCAACAGAAAACGTTACAGTGTGAAATTATTTTATTTCAAATTTAACTATTATCGGGTAAACGTACCTTTCAGGGCTAAATCACTATTAAAGATAGTATTTAAGCCGTGGACTAAATCCATAATTTAAAATATACATATTGTCATATTATATTATATAATATAGGTATATCTTAGTCCGTGCTACGGCCCGTGGCCTATCCATTCTTTAATATATTTGGTTAAAACAAATACAATTTATTGACGGTTTAATCTAAATTCTAAGGTTAGTATATGAAGACTATAATAGAACAATATAATGATTAATGAGGCAAACGCTGCTGTACAAAACAAGACGAGAAGAAAGCGCATGAATAAAATGTGGCCACTGGCTGCGCTGCAGTTGCATCAGTAGGTAGCTGCTTATTATACACATCTAACATATGATAATTGATAGGGACTTATGATGTTTGATTGATTTTTGTAATAAATATGCAGTATTTTTAAAAGTGAACTATTTTACATTTTGTAGATTTTTGAGTTTCGCATTCATGCATAATGCATGTGATACATTAATGATACTATTATTTAGTTTAAAATGTTTAATATAATTAATGGTAGTAATAAAACATAATATTAATATGAAATTATGTATCATAATAACAACATTATATGTTTATGAACTAACCATATAACTATATTCATAGATTAGTTAAATAATATAAATCGGTAATTAATTAATAATTACATTCAAATTGTAAATAAATGCATATCTATGAATGCGTAATTTTAAAACCTACAACATTTATAATATGTCATATTTAAAAAACATTGCAAATTTATTTGCAAAAATTCCAATAAAACATCATAAATCCCTGTGTTGACGAGTTGAAGTAGCTACGGAATAAATTATTATAAATAGGTAATTATCTACATTTAATTTAGTGGAGTTAAAAATGTTATTATCATTAATCAAACTGCTTATAATATAAAAAGGCATATGTGGATGATTTATGTACGTCCATCAAAATAATTTCTTATAAATCTTAAAAATAAATAATTTACAGTAGAACGATTATTACTCGTATTGTATTATATTCTTGATAAAATATTAAAATGTATTAATTGTCTATACGTGGAAAATTAAAATATTATTTAATATCATTCAAATAGTTAAAAAAAGCAAATCCTAGAACAATATTTAACGTTAATATTTTTATTTTTATATTATGTATAGATTAATTTTATTCAAAATTTCATTTATAAATGAATATAATATTATTAAGAGCAGAATAGATATTATGCTGCTAATTTGGGTCATACGTTTTGCGCCCGAAACGCATTGAAATGCAACTAAACATGCATAGTGTCTAATATTACAAATCGTAAGAAAGTAAGATTTATAACTTGTATAATTATAGATTATATTATTATAGGTATATTATGCACTATAATTTATTATAATACTATAAAAAACATAATATTATACACGAGTAAAAACTACTTAATTATCTCGAGTTTTTTTCTATTACAAATTCTTTTTTCGTTTCAGGTACATATATCAACGTAAATTTGACATTTATTGATGTCCTTATCCGTGTATAGGATCCATGTAATTATTGTGATCGTCGTGTCAAAATATACGTGAGTTGATACCAATATTAGTTTAATTCCAGTATTTATGTCACATATTAATATATTATTATGTACTTATAGGTCACTGCATCGTCGTTCCTTACTTGACCTCTCTTTGAAATTATACTTAAAATATACCTTAATGCAATGTTCTTATTATACATGATTTTAAAATTAAAAACCTGCGTCTCGACATACTTTTTTTAATTTAAAACTTTTTCGGGTAAAGTGTCCTTTATCTGCAATTTTGTAGGTATTTTACACCAAAATAATTTATCCGTGGATTCCGTATTTTGGTATACTGCATACAACACAATGGATGGTACCCATAATAATATATTTTAAGATTTTGTTTAAATGTGCCGGTTAAAGCAATATTTTAGAATAGTGATCGTTGCAACCACGGTATACTAATAATATGCCGTGGTTGCAACTGAAGGTACCGTAGCCGAACGCCGCGCGAACGGAGTTTTTATAATTATTAATTATTGTTGGTCATTCACTTATTCGTGTAATACCCAACGGGTGAATAGGTGATCTATCGATTTTAATTTTAAATACAAACTGCAGTTGGTAATTTTTCTAATTTTATAAATATTTCAATAACATATTTTATTTTATAGTAGCGGAGTCAATAATGTGCACTTTTATTCTTATAGTATTACTAGCTGATCCCGTGCACTTCGTCGCCCTTTAAATGTATCAACTCAATATGACTCAGACTTTGTTCAATTCGTTATTCAATATTCGGTGTATGGTGTTCAAAATAATTTATCTTATCTTTTCCGTTGCCCGGAATAGAAATTCTGAATCGCAGCAGTACATTATCAGGTAGGCAATCTACTTGCGGTAGATCGCGGACCCCGTGCTGTTTGTACGGAAGTGTATGATTTAACTCTAAAGTATCAAAGTTATACCAAGTTATACGGTGGATTAATATAACAAATTTGGTTGCTCGTAAAAAATCACAACTCTTAAAAAATTATGATTGTTGAACTCCTTTTGGGTGTAACTTGCTGCGGTAAGTGCAACTCAGCCACCCTGCAGGTAGGCAATGTTCAATAATTTGATTTGATGCAAGCTTGTACCTGATCTGCCCGAATAACCAATGGCAACCAATAAATAAATGCTAATTTCTAATGTAGACTGTAACCAATGGCAACTATTAATAAATAAAAATAAAATTTCCAATTTCCATCTTGAATCTCAATGTCCCTGTTTGAGCACCTATTTAAAATGCAAATTTCGAAAAATCCTTTCTTAGCGCACGTCTACATCATAATAGCTATCTCAATCTGTATGCCAAATTTCAGCCAGATCCGTCCAATGGTTTGAGCTATGCGTTGATAGCAGTCAATCAGCTTACTGTTTTATATATACAGATATTATTATTTCGATAGTACCTAATGTTATCAATGAAATATAAGTTTAATATATTTACACTGGTGACTGGTCAATAACGATCAACAGTATCTAGATTTTTTTTTTTTATTATTGCATATGGCATGGTATTGGTGTACAAAATAAAAAGTAAAAAGTAAAATGTAATAACGTAACGAACATAAAATAAAATAAAAGTATTAATATAAATAAATAAACAAGCTACAATGTAACAGTTATAAAATGCTATAAGCTTATTTCAAGATTACCCAGCCAATCAGCGCTTCCTGGTCGCCTTTGTGTAGGCTTGATGTTCCTCCACTGAACATTGTTTCCGGGCATTCCTCAATAATGTGCCAAATAGTTTGGATCTGGCTACAATTGCAGAGCGGAGAGTCCACCAATAACCATTCCCCATTTGTGCATCAAATAATTGCACCTTCCCTGCCCAGTTCTCACGCGGTTTAGGGCAGTCCATGCTACACGGGACTAGATTCTGAGGGAGCGTTAAATATATTGGTTTTACAATGATGAGTGATTTTTAGTTTCCTTTATAATATATCAATACCTTTTGGAGCAAAAAATTGCTTCAATCTTCAAATCTTCAGTTTTGAGGGTAGTTTCTGGTTGAAAATTGGATCTAGCTGTCAGTTTGGGTATAGTTATATAATTATTAAATTCTCGTACTTTTCCTTATAATCAGGAAAACGTAAAATCCTCAAAATTGAATACAAGGTTTTTCGTAAGTTGTCTTACAGATTACAGTAACCTACGGTGGCGGTGCCCAGGGCCCCGCTGGGGTGCCGCATAGTGAGGGGCCCTGCCTTTAAAGTTTGAGACCTTAAGTTTAGGACTCCAAAAACTTTATTTGCCAAGAGACCCCACTACCCCAGGAAATCTTCCGCAGTCTTTGATAACCTAAAGGCTAAAAGTATTAAAAATATATTCTGCTAAATAAATGTCTGCTCAACAAATTGTAGGCAGACTCTCTTTTTCTCTCTCTCGACTCACACACACACACAAATATGATAAATGCATATTATGCTGTATATTGTAGCTGTTCAGTGTGCACTGACCTACCTGTAGTAATATTGAGTAGGTCTACTAATATGACTGTGTTAAATTTTTTTTGAATTATATTTTTTTAATGCTAAATGAGGAATACATTTTTTTCAAGTTGTCTAGAATTTAAAATCTTAATAAATACTGTAGTAGCTAAAATTAATGATCATTGCTATAGAAGTAAAATGCTGACATATCTTCAAGTTTATCAGAGCGAGATGAATAGTATATATATTCTGTATTAAAGACGTTGTCTATTTGTGTGTATGAAGAATGAGTTAAGGAAGTTTTATTGTATTATATTTTATATATTATTATATATTTACTTTTCTTGAGTTGGATTCGACAATAAAACAAACGAGAAAGTAAATTTTATATATTTATTTCAATTACCGTGTATTGTACATTACTATTGTTAAATATTGTCAAAAATTCATATAATATGTGTGTCGGTATTATTGACTATTGTTACGCAACTTGAAAACAAAACTTCAATTGTTTTGTTAATTTAATAATATATTAAAAATTAATCAAATCGTTATACACATTAAACATATTAAAATGTTTAAGTAGTAAGTACGTGCCATTACGTAGGTACCTACTGACACATAAAATGAATGACTTGAGGTTTTTTTAGAATATTCAATGCTATATAATTTGTAAAAATGAAACCTCCAATATTCTATATTATATTAAGAAAAACCATCAAAACTCAACATTTATTAGTTTATATTTTACCTAGTATTCATCTTCTCGTAATTACATAATCCTTTTTCCAATATATTTGTATAATATAAAATATTTTAGTTAAATAAACTAAGTTAATTTAACTATAAATTATTTTTATGATGTAAGCAAAATGTAAATCTGGCGCCTGGTGCCTCTCTATAATAGTCTCTTACAAGTATTCGCATTTCATATTGAAATATTATATCATATATACTTGTACAACAATGTTGTATCTTGTATGGTTGTTATATAATATTTATACTACTATAAATTTTAACTAAAATCTATACAAAACTTGAACACTATTACAAATTAAATTTTTAAAAACAAAATTTTTTTAGCATAATTTATAGTACATTTCATTGACAAATTGATGAGGTAATAGCACCAGTATAGGTACTAAAATAGTGGTGTGAACTGTAATTTCTGGGATTAATTATAGACTATAAAGTATTTAAAACTTTTACACATCAAGAAAGGCGAATTAGGCCAGTTAGAATAATTATTATTTATTAGTACCTATTTAGTATTTATACAATTTTTATTTTTTATATTATCCGTGGTTTTCAGTTTTGGTTTTGGCAGGGGTGTTATTTGGGGGTGGGTAGGAATTATGTATTCATCCAATCCTAGATTTTAAAGTAACTTTAAGCCATATAGCCGTGGTTGACGAGCTTGTATATCGAGAATGATCACAGAGATGTAAATGATGTAATATAATTATATGGTTGTATACGGAATTAGTATAGTATCTATTATGCCAATATAGTCAGGGACTCCTCTTAATAATTTAACCGTATAGATCGGTTGACATTTTAGTTATACTTAAACGTTCTATTAATTGATAGGTACCTATACTCAATAGCCAATATATTTTAATATAGATTATAAGTATATTATGAATTATTAATAATACCTTTATTCCAATAATAATTTATGTAATTGATAATTAAATTAAACTCAAAATTAAAAAAATATTAAAAATACATTTTTTAAATTTTTTCTTAAGTTGTTTTCATTTAACTGAATAAGTATATTGATTGACAAGGTGAGACGCGCGTTTACCATAATTAGTCAGTAATCAGTAGTATTGATATACAGGTAAAATGAGTATTATTAATAATAGTTAGAATCTATATTATACAGATTTTCAATGTATAAAAGATTTTATCTAATATTTTTAAATATTTTTAATAATCCAAAAACAAAATACTGGTATTGGTATGTTACCTAAAGTATGTATTATTATAATAAAAATACAATTATAGTTGTATTACCTTTCTTCGATTTGTCACCTAATCGAAATTTCAACGGCAAACTCGGTTAAGTGAAAAACGTTCAACCGTGCCTCCAATTCCAATATAATATAATAATTTACTTAGAAGAAAACCGATTCTTTTCAAAAATCTGTTTTGCTTTACCTACTCCAGTACAGAGTTAACATACATTTGTTTGATTTGAAATACTAAATAAGAAAAAAAAACATTATTTAATAATAAAACTTAACTAAGAATAAAAAACAAAATTATAATCAAAATTCTATCGCTCACCGACAGCGACGGACCGGTCTCAGACAAAGCGTCAAACGGGGCGGCGCTACAGCGGCGGCGGCGGCGAGGCATGTGCGTAGAGCTGTAGACTACGGGCTGCCGACAGTCGTTCGCCGCGGGTCCACGCGAGTTCGTCTTTCGTGTCTGTCGTCGGTCGTCTGTGTCGTTATTTATTTTCACGGGGTCAGGTGCGTATTTCGTTTCGGAAGTCCGTTCGCAATCGTTATCACATCATCGGGGATTAAGGTTGTGCATGTGAGACCGCGTTAGTTTGTGCGGCATTCGCGTTAATTTCCCGCGCCGACGGGAACGAGCGCCTCCGCACCGGCAGCCATGGAGGACTCGTGTCCCTTGAACAACGTTGCGCAACAGGCTGAGGCGCAGCGTTTCCGGAAACAGTCAAAGAAAATCGGGAGGAAACTATCCCGCCGGCTGTCGCTCATCACCAAAGTTCCCAACATATTTAACGTTAAGTTCGCTGGCTCCGAAAGTCCGTCTACGCCTCACAAAATCGTCCATGGCGTCTCCGCGGCCGCCGCCGACGGTACCATCCTGCAAGCGCACGAAATCACCGTTATCGCTCCCGATAAGACTCAACGATTGGTGAGTACTTGTCTGAGGTACTACATGCCTAATCGTTTCGTCACCGGTTTTTCTTTTCAGTATATTTAATTTGGTGTGCACAGATTTTATATTATCTAATTAACAATTACCTAATGGCTAATACTGTTGTACAAAACCCACCCTTAGGTCTTGTTTCAGGTGCCATACAAATATGCAATTTGTATTTCGTATACCTAAGAATTAGTTTTTAACTGCCCAGAACTATCATTAAAACGACCTCTACCTATTGTCTCTTTTAAAATCTTACAACATCCCATTCAATAGGTATTCTAAATATTTTGTCATTCCTATACATTCCCGAGCATTCCTCATTTCTCATTCTTCAGTTATAAGTACAGGATTTATTGTTTAATTTCTGTATATATATATTTTTCAATTTATAGCCTCTTAATTACCCATTGAGACTAATTTTAAGACTCAATCTTAATACAAATATATAAAAATGAATTTACCTAAATTTTTCAAAATTATATGATAGCACTTCAAAAGCATTAGTAATGTTTTTTTTTAAAATAGCATTTTTCAAATATTCAATAATTAAATCCTATTCATAATAATTTATAGTTTTAATAATACATTGGTATGACAAAATATTTTATTTTGTATTCAATTTTATGAATAGGCCTTACCATTTTTATTTTTTTAATATACATATACCTAAGTACCTACCTATTAATTTATTATTAATACCTATTTCATGACTTCATGTTTTCGGAAATGTGTTTATGTAGCTACAACTTTTAGTAATGCCCTTAATTGGTCAATCATCCCTCAAAAAAACTTTCAGATGTAGAGTTATAAATGATGCTTTGCATATTGTACACACTATATATTATATAATTCCCCTGATAACGTTATAGACAACTTTCACAAAAGCTTCATACTTGTAGCTTATTTAGTTATTATACGGATATTATAATTATACGCAATATGGATTGATAAAATTATTTTTGTTTGACCAAATAATTGTGTATATACCCGAATAGGTACATGAAGTAAAATTAAAGATATATTTATAATAATAATACTTTATTTTGCAAAACAACATGAGACACATTGTATAAATACGTAAATTAATTAGTTGCAGCACCCCCTAAAAGCAAAGCTTGTGCTGGGGGAGCGGTTCTTATATTATATTAACTTAAAATTAATACATAAAATAATAAATTAGTAATAGCTTATATTAAGAAGTAGCAAAATATAGTTATGCAATATTATAAAGTATAAACAGAGTAAAAGATAATATGAGTATGAGTATGAAGAACAATAATATATTATTTAATTGTTAACATCGATGATTGTATTAGTTAGTCATTTTAACGTATTCGTTCTCAGCGTTATATTATACAAATTAATAATCAATTTAGGTATAGCTATAGGTATATAGTTTTATATTAGTTTTAGAATACGTCAAGTCAAAATTAACAGTAAGTTATTATACTTACGTATATAAAAAGTTTTCTTCACAATTTTAATAAGTTTCAATATAAAATTCAAAATAAAATGAAAATTTGAAAATCAATGAAATATCTTATTTTACACCATCAGAAGTATACTTACAAGTTACAAGTAACAACCTACAATATACTTATATACATACAATTATAGTGAAATATTTTTAGAGACATTTTGGGCCTTTGCAGTGATTTAGTTATCTCATATAATACAACATTGGAATGAATTTACGTATACTAGGTATAAACAATATAAATAATATTAAACCGGTGTATTTATATATATATATATATATATTATATATATTATATTATGTATAACCTATAATATTTTAAAATTCGAAAATGTATTGATATCGCAATAAAAAAACCTTCATCCTGCTTCTGTTTAAAAATATGGCGATGATCTCTTTATTTTCTTCACGCAATAATAATTCTCCTTATCACCAAATACGGTTGTCCCGGTTTTGTATACAGCTTAATAACACTATACGCGTGAAGCAATGATTACGCGACATGTGAAGTTTTTTTTAACAGTGAACAAACCACAATATTATACCATAGTCCTGTATTATAATCATATTTTTGTATTCAATCAATGTTATAATATATGTACAAAGTACTTATACTTACAACAAACAATTATTAATTAGGGACGTTATAACAATTTTTAATGTATTGTATATTTGTATATCGTACTATATACATTATAGATATACAATATTACAAAATTGTTTTTGATTAATTACCTAGCTTAATACAAAACATTAATTCTAACACATCTACGGTAAACATGATGGTTTTTTTCCTAAATAGTTAAATAGCTGGAACGGTATAAGACAGTGTGGTTGAAGATATGTACCTATGTATAATAGTTTTATATTCTATTTTATATTTCTAAATCTAGGTAATATCCATTACATATTCCTAACATATTAAATATCGTACATTTTCTTCGGTTCGGGTTTTTCGTTGGTGTTCAGAAGAAAACAATATAAACTGCATTTAAAATTACATGGTAAAATTATGCTAGAAATAAATAAATATTTATTTCAAAGATTTAATAATACGAAACAGTATAAAATATGTATAGTGCAATATTACAATTGATTACATTTAAATTTAAATTTATTACTATATTATCCTTTAATATGTAATATGCTTTACATTATATATATATGCCTTACATCTTTATACTTGATAGTTGGTACTTACTACTTATAGGTTTATGATTTATAGGCATTATAATAACAGTACGTATTACAATCTACCTGCAAGTATATTTTTATTTAAAAAAACTAGTATTAAAATCTAAACATTTCTAATATTTATTAATATTTTAACAGGTTAAGTTTATTATGATACATATGTAAATTATTAAAAAAAAAATGCCGGGTGATAAACTAACATGATATACGGGAATAAACTTTGGAATTATGTGCGCGATGTGCATCTGTATGATATGTAAAATCTACACGGAGCTAACGAACAGAAATAAGTAAACGTACCTACCTATATTTTAAATGCATTCATTACTATGCATGATTTAGGTTCGCTTTCTCCAAAAAAAAAGCAGATGCAACATTGACATCAGTTAAAGACCAGGGGTCTTTAAAATACCATTAGATACGAAGCGAAAGTTTTTGATACACTATTTATTTGCATTATATCTGATACTTTTAACAAATCTATAATAATTATAAATAAAAATAGAACGCATGCATAAACTTGAGAAAGATTTTGTTTATTTCATATTTTAAATATAATATAATATAAGTATACTTAATTGTACCTATGATGTAATATTTTATTCAAATATATTACTTCTCAGATCTTAGTTTGATTATTTTCTTCAAATCAACTTTATAGAAAAATACTTGTAATATACTTAATAGTTAACAATATTATGTTAATATAGTTGTCCACGTGGACGCGAGGTGTAGTTGTATAGAAACTACGAGATTAAGTTACGTAATTTAAATTTAAAATGTTTGAATAATTATTTATAATATTTTCTAACTATGTCTGTACAGTGTACAAATTATCTAGTGAACTCTTTTCTGTATTCAATTTCATAACAGATATGATTTATTTATTACTAAAATAATTTTTATTTTGGATTTCAGTTCAAGGGGGTTTGATTAAAATGAAAATTATATTTTATTATCTTTCTTTCTTTTGTTCTGTCATGACTCATCTCATCAGGTGTCAGTGACAAGCTTCTTTTTTATTGCTTACCAACGCTAAATTACTGTGCCAGAATAACTTTTTATTTGTGTTTTCATGCAAATTTTCTTCTAAAACAGATCGCCCACCATTCATGTCCTTATCTGAAATAAAATATAGATAGAAAAAACTGACACTACATTGTGAGTTTCATTTAAACCTAAATAGTGAGTGTGGGAGTTAGCCGTTACATTTTCAAGTTGGCGGATTTTCAATGATCATTGACTATTGAGCGTGGGTCTTAACTATGTCATTTCTCCAAACAGTGACCGTTTTTAATTTAATGCCCAACAATAAAATAATATATATAGGAAAATAATTAAATATATTGAACTTATTAAATATTTTAAGTTGTGATACGTATTAGAATTTCACTTAATTTTCCTTAAAAAAAATTTAAATGTTAAAATCAAGGCATAAAGTTATGTGAATTAAAAAATATTAAATTTTCATAGTAAATTAACACGTTTTTTCCAAAAATTCCTTTTTGTCAAAAATTTAATATTACAAGTTTATTAATTACCTAGTCGAAATTAAATCACTTATTATAAATATAATGAAAAAAATCACACCAGTTTAAATTACGTACCTTCATATAGGCACTTCAACACTTTGTATGGTTTGTTTGAAGTTTTTCTTAAGCTTAGTTGGTTCTACCAATGAAATAAAATAATAATCGAAAGTACCTACCAACTATACCTAGTATATAATAAACTGCATACAATATAATATATAAATATAAATAATACATAAATGTTTAATACCATTATAAAATGTATTTTAAATATGGAAAACAATGCTTAGTTTCTTATTATTATTTTTTAGTAAATGTTCAAATGCTATATATTAAATTATTTTTATTGTTTTTAAGAGGTTGTCTAATATGAATTTATTCTATCGTTATTTATTCTATTTTATATAAATAAAATTAATTTAACTTTTTACACAAGGAATACTATACCTATATAAGCGCAACTAGGGTTAAAATTCTGGGCGGAGTTACAGCCCACCCAACAAAATTATTAATTTAATATAACCCATAATGGTTTTATATCTCTATCAATAAGGGATATTTTGGAAGGCTAAATTATGGTCAGGGGGGTTAAGCCCCCCCCCCCTTAGTTGAGCCACTGATACTTTACGTATTGAATGTAAAATACAAAATGTATACTTAATCACTTGATTGTAAATTCTATGAATAAAATTGAAATTGTTTAAATCTAGATTTTCAGACCTATTTATATTAATAAAATATTATATACAGTTTAAAATTTAGTAAAAATGATCGAACATGGGCTC